CGGCCGGCTGCTCTGATCGGTAGTTTTCCGCGGTTTCTCTGATGAACGCCAGGCGAATGCCAGAGAAGTACCCTTACAAACTGGAAATGGACTGCGCGCGGTCTATCCTTCTCATTACTTGTCCTATACTCCTTCCACACATTTACACACACGATAACATGCACTACACTACCACATATGCCGGGAGACCGGTCGGGAGCTTAGAGCATGTCCCGGCTGGGGCGGTGTCCCTCTGAGAGGAGATACTTGGATGGGGAAGCCCTACTAACCGGCGGTAGGACGGAGCCGGATTTCGCCATCCAACGGGGCAAGATCACGGCCACATCGCGGGCAAAAGACCTGGTCTACACTTAAGGGACTAGTGATTTAAAAACAAAAAAACAAAAAAATAGCAGTTGGTGTGCCCGGAATCACTATTAATCAATCAATCAATGTTAGGGAATTGATGTGTGCGTCGAAGCGTGTCGCAACGTCGACCCTCTGCTTCCCTCCCACGCAACTCATCAGGGCGAGCGCGGAAGCCAAACGCTGCTGTTGGGACCGCGGCCACGCGCACTCGCCCGAGGCCCTTCTACCCTGACAACCGCCCCGCGCCGCCAGAGGTTGGAACTTGTTTCCCCTCACCAGTGTCCTTGGCGGCGCAGTAATTTATTTACATCAGAGAAAGTACAAATGTGCGCTTTGAATTGTCATGTTTTTATTTATTTCCTTTTTTATTATTTTTTTACACTTTTTTTAACTTGCACATAGCTGTTTTGTCCGTAGTGTATTTGAGAGAGAGTGTCTTCGCAGATGAATCTTCTAACTGGCAAACTTAGACAAGCATATTTATTCTTAAACAAAGAATCGTCTAATCTACCGAAGCAAGGTAATTGCAAATAAACAAAACACGAGAAACTGACGCTCAAAACCGACGTCTGTGGAGGCGTTTCGAGAATATCCAGATATTCTCATGGTTTATACAGAGAACCCGCATATATAATACTGTAATGGAAGCATTTAAAACTCAAACGTGAACGATATGATGAAATGTTAAATTTTGAATTAAAAAGTAAAATATTAAAGCTTAAATTCCTGATTTAGAAGCGTTTTTCAACACATCCATAATATATATACAATGAAACTGCAATTCGTCATTTCTCTACGAAATTATTTATTTTGACACCTCATTAGAGAGTTTGTGCACCTTCGAAAGTTAAAGCACTATCGTTCTTCTGCGCATGCGCAGAGTTTTGCATAGTTTTCGAGTATCTGCGCTTGCGCAGAAGATCGATAGTACTGCCCGCAATTTCTTGCACAAACTTCCTATTCAATCAGATTGATTTGGTGTAAGTGCTGCAAAACGGATCTATTTCACAGAGTATATACAAGGTTACCAGTCAAAGAATACTTAGACGTGAAACCCCCTCCTTTTTTAAAAAAGAGAGTTCACTTTGACATCACTGTTTGCAGTTGGAGGTACCGAGAAAAAGCCGAACCTCCAAAATGCAATAGAATGGCGCAGGCAGACGTGAGAAATGTCACTCGTGCAACTCGAGGCTTTTGGTCTTGAAAAACGGCTTTTTAGGCCATCGGACGCAAGTTCTCATGTCATGCACGACTCATGTCGAGAAACAGTGTGTTGCGGGATTGTATTTCAGACGCGTGTTTACTATTATTATTTTATTATTATTATTATTATTATTATTATTATTATTATTACTGTTTTTATTATTACTATTATATTCGTAAGAAGGGAGAGTGCTATGCGTCACCTATCGGTAATTTTTTGTTCTCACTGCATTTGTTAAGATTTGTTCGGTGTGATTGAACAGAGGACAATTATAGATATTACAGAAATAATATGACGTTACAATTTGTTACCAGCTAAATAGAGATGTTCTGTTTTATAGTGTTAATTTATTATTCACTTTTTTGTAGGTTAAACCATTTTTTTAAAAGATTTATTCATGTTTCTAAACATTTTATGATTTCAGTTTACTTAGTTTTTCCTTATGATCTATTACGCATTAAAAAAAATAAATTGTAATAACATTAATTTTTATTGTTACTGAATTAACTTTGAATCTCCAATTAATTTCGATTTTTGGAAGGGATTGGCAAGGCGAAAAAGGTTATATGCCAAAGCTACGCCATTGCTAGGCAATCTGTTCTCCGGGCGAGATGTATGGGGACGCCGCACCCCCTCCCCCGCGGTCGGCAGGCCTGCCTCTTGCATGAAAGCGGCGTGGTCTCGACACATCTGGCCACCACGCGGCAAGGAAGGCATCGTGAATTCGACTGGCCGGGCGCGTCATTAATGTTTTTCGTAGTCCAGTTATGTAAATAGAATTGATGTCTGTTCCTAGAATATTGATTTAATAAAGCTAGGCTGTTTCTCAGCCGATCCCTTTCTGTCGAGAGAACATCTGCCTCCTACGTTTGTCAGTTCCAACGGTGAATGAAATGGGAGAGATTACGAAACAATCAAGGGGCTTTGGCGAGATACCTGCTCACTCCAGTGGCGTCGCGAGTATTAGAATGGAATATTCCATTCCGGTATTTACCGGATAGCACTCCAAGGAGTACTTCAAATACAGCTATCAAACCAAGCCACCGTCTTCCAGATGCATCGCCTCTTAAAAATTCCACAAGCAAACACACACAGAGATAAGAAGAAAATTTCACAGCATAACAAGTCAACATTATCCTTACAGACCACTATGCCCAGCCATATTTCGGAGTTTTAGAACATACCTGAACGCTGTTCAACTGCTTTCTCCCTTGCTTCTGGCTTACAGAGGAAGGAGAAAGTCAATTCAGCAGCGTGATCACAAAAGCTTTCAATTAATACCCAAAAAAGGAAGGAAGCGGGAAGTCTATCGACAGGTGCGCCACTTGAAGACAAAAACAGAATTTGACTAATAGTTTTATTAAAATGTAGACAATCCCAGGCGCAGACGAGATGATTTTCAGAGCTGATTTAAAGTAAAATTAGATTTTTTCTACAAGTATCATTCAGCAATTGAACAACAATATCCAAAGGCATTCTGTACAAGAATTAGTCTTTCTAGGCGAATAAATGTGATGAAATTTATTAACAACCCATCGTGTCCCTTGAAGAGCAAATGCTTCTTCCCTTCGACGATTGCAGGCGATGAGAGGAAGGATTCAGGCGTACGGCGGCCCGGTCCAAACTGAGGTGAGGGGCTTTCCTTTCTGTCACCCCCCCCCCGGGTGACAGAAAGGAAAGCCCCTCAGTCCAGCTCACTACTCGGCTTGCTCGCTTCCCGTGTTCGATTCCCGGCCAAGACAGATTATAGTGCGCGCTTTCCTTGCAATGTCGCTGTATCTGTTGCTGTGTGGCGATGAGAAAAGTTCACTTCTCAGGTTGAAAAGACCGGAATACGGCGAAAGGGATGCACATGTGCTAACCACATGTACCCCTTTAAACCATGTCCGCGAAAAGGTCTTGGCTCCCTCAGAAGCCGTTGTAGCAGTACGGACAGACAGAGAGGCAGACGAGCGGACGGACGGACGGACGGACAGACAGACAGACAGACAGACAGACAGACAGACACGGCCGTCAGACAGGGAATGAGAGGAAATATAGCGCGTGGCCCGTGGCCAGTTGTACTGCACCGTAGCCAGTGTGCTGTTTCACCATTCGCCTGGAAGCATTTATGAGAGAATTGGGAATCTACGGATAAGCGAAGTGGGCATATGAATTCAATTCTGCGAGGTGCTACAATCTCGCTAGTGTTTAAGATATTAAGTAAATTTTCGGCGTCTGATTGACAATAATATCCATTCTGCGACGACCCAGCCGTAGGTCCTCTCGAAAAATGTCACCTTTGCCTTTATAATCGTATCTGTTGATGCTGGTAATATTTTAAAAATAATATAATGTGAGACTACATGCACATTGGGTATTTAAGGAATAAATTACAAAAGTTTTTTATCCATTTTAATCGAATGTTTTCTTGAGTGTTAATATTGTTTATTTCCATATTTAAAAAACGTGATTTGTGCCCGCTGTCAGTGCCTTGAAGGTTTGCACCGGACCAGCTATACGAAATGAAAGCCTGCAAGAGTTGATAATAAATATTATTGATTTTCCAAGAAAGGAAGATTAGATAACTTTGTGGATTAATTTTGTATTGTAGATATGATAAATTAATTTGTCAAGATAAATTGTATTATTCTCAATAATATTATTTCTTCATCTTTTTTTAGCAAATACAAATGCAGAATACATATCTACAAACATATTGAATAGAAATAATCGGGGAACATCAAAATATCAGTAAATGTATTACTAATACCTAAAAATTGCAGAAGTCTTCTATAGTATCAAAACATTAAAATAATATTTTATCTACAGACAGTAATAATAATAATGATAATTATAATAACTAAAAATAATAATTATAACCATTACAATAATAAATATCGAAGAATTAATGGCAAGTAAACAACTTTTCCAGTTAACGCCAGAGGAAAAATCTCGACCAACGAAATTTAGGAAAACATTGCTTTTTGGCGGCGCGTGTGGACAGTGACGTCAGCATGACGGAGCTGCAAAGGGCAGTTGGGGCAACTTAATTGCCTGAATGGCTCATTAGCGTTTGGGGCGGGCGCGTGGAGTTATCGGGCCGGATGCTCGCGGCGCTCGGCCCCCGCCCCCGCCCCCGCCCGCGCCCCTGGGCCTTGGCTCACGGGGCGAGGCCGCGCGGGGGCGCAGCGGCGTCGGGTCTCGCAACGTGACCGACGCGACGGTTTCGTGACACATTTCTTCCTAATAGATTTCTTGACGTTTCGAGCCTTCAATTAGATGGCATCTGGGTCTGGGGTGACCTCCTTACTCGTAATTAGATGATAAGGTAACATTATAACCTCCTTTTTCTGTTAAACAGTGAGTGGATATTAAGGTATGATGGTAGAAAATTATTAAGGCATTCACACTTTTTCATTTAACCACATCACCTTCAAACGGCACAAGAAATTTTAGATTAACTTTTCACTACCATTGCGTAATTTAAAGTGTTTTCTCATATTTAATGTACTATAACTTAGTATAATCTACAATCCACACAAGGTAGATACCACTTTTAAGCACACAATGCTTAACATTGTAGTATTGTTTTCCAAGTGCTGCTTTTTCTACACAACACCTAATTATTAACGTACACGTGTAAACTCACATCGTCCTTCAAATACACAAAACAGATAATTTTTTTTGGGGGGTGGGGAAGAAAAATAAAACAGGAATCTTTGGAAAGTGGGTGGTGTATGTCATAAGTGAATAGGATTTACGCAATTCAGCTATGTTTCAGCTGCACTTAAGTTGAGGTTTTAAAAAAAGTAATACGTGTTATAAAGACTATAAACTTCAATTTTAAAGAACAAAAAGCGAATGCAGGTTTTTTATAAACGGTTAATTGCGTTTTCAGTATCAATTATGAAGCGCGTTTTAGCGCTAAAGAGGGCATACTGGGACGCATTGCACGACAATTACATTCCATTTCTCGTCTTCTTAAGTCCGATTGTCGCAACGATATGTAACTTCTTTAAGCGTCTTGGGCTTTAGTATGAAACGTCAAATATGTTAGAAAAGTTAATTGCAGAAACTTGAATGAAATCGCAGGCAATTTTGAATATGCTCTTTGAATGAATTTGTACCGATTCTAAGATCCGTTTACATTAAAAAAACACTGCTGGTAAAATACCAAACAGGCTCTATCAACTGGAGATCAATCAATCTACACATTAGCACCATATATAATGAAATCCAAAATATATTTTATTATATGAAGACAAACATCTAAGATGTTCATAGTTTCAACTGTTAGAACGCATGTCCTCAGTTGGTTTCCTTTAGCCTTTTCGTTGTTGGAATTTAAGTCTTCTTTTCCTCGTAGAATGTTAAGTAGAAGTCCCAAAAGCGGAATCTGTGAGTCAATACTGAACGACAGATCACTTGATTAGTGATTCAGTTTCACTAATGAGAAGGAGTCAGCGGATTCAAACAATAAATGGAGCAACCGGTTAAAATGTTTATGACATGCTTTGATTTCACGTGCGTATGATTTGATCGTATTTATTAGGAAGTAAGTTTGTTTGCGGCATGTATCATAATAATATACAAAGATGAAGAGTCGGGTAAAACTAAGAGGAAGTAACTGTCAAATATTTGTTTCAGAAACTGAAATAATCTCAAGTGTATAATATATTTAATATAGAGTCGAGAAGCCAAATTTAGCTACAATTCATTCGAATTGTTAAGTTGGAGAAATACAATATTATTGTACCTCGTTGCTTACATTCGGTTTAAATCCAAAGGCGACACCGAATACCCTGGTCTCTATCCAAATATGCCGAAGACAGACGTAAAGTTCTGATGACAGCAAACTGAAGTGAGCCTTCCGTCATTGAGGCCTAATACGTGAAGCTTGACAGCTTACTTAATCACGAATAATCGATTATTAATAAGTTGGGAGATTTTAGGCAGTAAAATTGGAGGTAAAGTGCCAGGAGTTAATCGGTTGAAGCATGCTGTATACAAACTTTTATCTTTCAATACTGAAATTTGTTTTTAAAGAACATTTCGATTGTGCATGTGCATTTTTCGAAAATTTGAGTGATTTTCACGTAATTGTGCGTCAAAGTACGGGCGCGAAAGCACCACTAGTTTATTTTGTGATCCTATTGGCAGAATAAACAACGAAAGTCAGACCACAGTTTCAAAACCCAATTTATTTTTATACTACTGCAGCAGCCGCTGGAATAGTACCCCCTAATGAAACGCAAATTTCCTTAAGTAGAATGGATTATGGAGTGTCCTCATCAATGATAAAATGCGATAAACTGTAATCTTGTGAAGCTCGAAGTTGTCCCACGCTCTAGTCAGCAGAAGGCAAAGATAAAACTGACAGCACCTCATATAGCAATGGAAATCTATATCAATTTGACATTAGGCTCTGCAGGAGATGAATTTCCTTAAGATAAAATACAAATTTGTTTTTATTTTGAACTCCTGTATTTTGTTTTATAAGATAAAAACAAAATACAAATAATAATGTTCTGTTGACAAGACATGTTTAAGAAGACATACGTAGACATTCGTACAATACGACCAAGAGTCAAAATAAATGTATATTAATAGAATGCACACAAAGCAGGTGTTTGAAAGTGAGTAGTTACCTATTACGTATGTGAAATTATAAATATACTAAACATTATAATTTAAACTTAAGAATAAATTTAGAGATCAACGTTTCCCACGAATATGTAAACATTCAAAAATGTAGTAACACTTCAGAGAATTAGATTAATACGTTGCAGTAAATTTGTCAACTACGTATCTTTCGACGCGTTTAGAGAGACAAAACTTCCTAGAACTGACATCGTAGTTTTGTGAATGTCATCGTTGTCTTACATAAAAGAGGAATCTCCTGACATGGTTTAACGACGTATTGGACTGTTGCCATTCGAACTATGCCCTCGTTCTACCAAATCAGATCAGGAGGCAGGAAATGAAGTCGACGAATATTAAACGTGGTTATTAAACAAAGTATAATTTTCAGCATTAAAATATTTTAGCATAATTAATGTATTACTAATTTAAAGATTAAGTTATAAAATGTTTTTAAAAAGTCATTTCAGGAACCGTAAATGAGTCTTATGTACAAAGAATCTCCAGGTTCCAATTTTTTAAACAAGTTTTTTGTGCAAAATCATGAACGTAAGGTATTTACTCTTGAACAGTGGATATTGCCTAAATATTTCTATTACTGTAGTGGAAGCTTCGCATGTATTATTTGTATGATTTCCTACTATATATGTGATACGTAGGTTGAATTTTACCACCGCTACAATTACACAATTTCTCTTAAATGGAATTACTTCTCTGCTTAAACATCTTTCAAGGTTTTTTTACTAAGTTGTGAATTAGTTTATAATCTCTCTAAGATTTTGATGGATGAAAGTTTTCCGTACAATTCACTTCGAAATGCATTATAAGATTTGCATGTTTGTTAGCAAGATAAGATAACTGATCCTTTGAACATGAGCCAATTATACATGCTATTATTATGTGTTCTCTGACAAGTAAAACCATAATCGATGCAAATATGGATATTCAGAAAGCGTGTGTGTTAGTTCTTTTACTGAAAAATTTATTGCTGTGTCAAACACTTTCACTCTCGACTACGAAAGGATAAGATTCTGTCAGCACGGTACAAGTGTTGTCAAATAACAACTCCATTATACTAATAACCTTAATTATTCCTCGCAAAATACACAGCTTGTATGATCAATTTCAGACCATAGAATTGTGTCCATAATTCAAGTGGTAAAACGAGATTTTTTCTAGTATTTAATACAAAAATTAAAACCGAAAAGCAGAAATGTCTCGTTTTCTGAAATCATCCATAAGAATATATATCGAAACGTCTCTATAAAACATTTTTATGACGTACTCTAATCTCGTATTTTAGCAGCCTCTCATCAACTGTGCCAGAGGAGAAAGCCAAAAGCGATGACAAATGACCCGAAAGTAATATTTCGGATATTTTTACAGTTACTAGTGATGCGACATCGATAACAAAACATTGATGTTAGCAAACATCGATGTTCAAAATTAAACATAGATGTTAAAAATGCATCGACTAAAAACTCTCGATGTTTTTATACTGGATTAGTAACATCTAACATTACATTCGTTTGCATTGTAATTTAATTTGACAGTGTTCGTGTTTATCAATTCGCCGAATATGGGTACGTGAAAAAGGGGCAGACCTTCCAACTACGGATGTTTGTTGCCAAATCTGCAGTAGTGCAAACAGCGTTCCTTTGATTCCAATACACGTATAACAGTGCTACATCAGTTATGATTTCATATTTTAACTTTTACAGTATTGTGATCACGGAAATGTTTCATTCAGAAACAAAATATCGGAAAAGAAATACACATCGATCACAAAACATCGGTGTTAATACATACATGTGTTCAACATCAATGTTTCTACAAAAACATAGATGGCGCATCCCTAACAGTTACACTAAATATTTCATCATCTTCAGCCAGAATGAATCGAGGCATAGTAAACACAACAGAGACAGCATACAAATGGGCAGTGAGATACCTCGTATTTTAAGGGTGTTGAGATATTTCGCCAGATTCCAAAAGATCAATGTTTCGTTGTGGAAACCAACGATACACTGATCTTTTGGAATCTGGTGAAATATCTCAATATTCTTAAAATATCCCAGGGGGGGGGGTTGTCCATAAATTACGTAACGCTGAAGACAGGGGACATGTCTGAGGCAGCGTTACCCTAAGTTACATAGGGGTAGAGTGGTCTTAGGTTAGTGTTACGTAACATTCATATTTATTTTTTTACATTTTTCTACATTTGCTGAAATAATTCTTTTTATTAGTTGTATTCCAAAGTTATGAGTTGTAAATTGTCACAATAAATGGAAATATTTTTTAAATTTTTTTTATCTGTAAGATTACGACGAAAATATTCAAAACTGATATGAAGTATATTCCATTTAAATTGGTGCTGTATGCTCTTGCTCTTGCAACATCCAAGGCGGCGTGTGCATAGCTTCTAGCCCAAGCATTCTTCCTTCGCTCATAACTTGCCCGAATCTTACTGTTAGGTGCAACCAGCATCGCCAACTAATTCGTGTAATTAATTATTGTTAATTACTTTAATACACAAAACGAGTAAAATAAATACTGTTTTACTGTGCTATAATTTACTTTCACTTCTT